CACTGCAGTCCCTTCTCCTCCATTCTCCTTCCGGGATCACGGGCAAGCATGCACATGCACTTGGTATGAGTTTCAAGCCACCGGGTCAGGGACTCCAGTAGTAGTCGGCCACATGAACGTTGAGCGACATAAGTGCTACACCATCTACTGGCCCCTATTATTACCCTTTTTAAAAAGATTATTTTCTTAATGCTATAGAACATGTGAGCTCACCAGAAAGAGAAAGATACAGCGAGGGAGTAAGAAAGTAAACCACCAAGTCTGGGACTTGAACCAGAGTTGGCCATGTGGGAATCCAGCACCTTAACCACCACATCACCTGCTGGCCCCAGTGTTCTTAATCTCTTAAATGAACAGTTGGTTCCATCTAAATACAAACCCTAACAACTTTAATCTATTTGAAGTTCAAAAAATTTAGAAAAACTTCTGCTAATGATGGTCAATTTCAACATAAATTATTCTATAGAATACTTAATTACTTTGACTTTTACATTCTCCTCAGAATATGTCTGTTACTTTCTCTTTGAATTTTAGGATTGATTTTTTTTTCCCCCGCCAGGGGGCAGGTACACTCATTAGATATGCAAAGAGTGAAAAAGCACCTTTGGGGGATGGTTATGCCACAATCCCTTCTCCTCCTTCCTCCTTTTGGGATGTTGGGCACGCATGTATAAATACCCAGAATCTTTTTCAAATCACCGGGTCCAGGACTCCAACCATTTGGTCTGCTATGTGGGATCCAGCTGCCTGAACCACCACACAACAGGCTGGTCAGAGGATTTTTCTTTTTTTTTAGAGAGAGAGATTATTATTTTTTAGACATTTATTTAATTGTATTTGTTTTTATTATTGTTATTATTATTAATCTTACTATAAGGCACATGTGCTCAAGAGAGAGAGACAGAGAGAGAGAAAGGGAAAGTAAAAAAAAAAAAAACAAACTGCTAGATCCGGGACTCAAAACACAGTTGACCATGTGGGAGTTCAGCCCTTTACTACCACACCAGCTGGTGACACCTAGATGTGATTATTTTTAGTAGTTGATTTTGGCTACTTATTTAAGTTTTTGAGGTTTACAGTACTAATTCTCTCTTCTCATGTTAGCTTTATACTGAGGCCATAAAAAAATATACAGTGGAAAACTCTGAATTTCCAAGGTAATAATTAATGGCTTTGAGTTCAAGTATTGGAGGTCCTTAAGAGGGCTCATATATCCCTTTTGCTTTTCTATACAGTACGTGGCCTTCTTTGAAGCCCTGGGGGTACTGATAATAGAGTTGGTTACTCAGCTAAATTAATATCCAATGTGCTCACCCAAATACCACAGGGCCTGGGCCTTATCCATCTTTAATCTAAACCTAAAACAAACCCATGGAGAATAGGCTAGTCTACCTACAGAGATATCCATGACCATACCTGTAGTTTGCTGTTGGACCTTTACATAGAAACTCTGTTATTGGGACCAGCAGGTGGCATAGTGGTTAAGGCGCTGGACACTCCCACATGGGCAACCAGGGTTCGAGTCCCCAGACCTGGTGGCTTGCTTTCTCACTTTCCCTTTATCTCTCTCTCTCTCTATCTCTCTCTGGTCAAATTAAGAATAAATGAATGAATAAATAAAATTAAATAAATAATTATTTAAAAATCTGTAATTGTAAAAAAAAGAGAGAGAGAGAGAGACTCTGTTGTTAACGGGAAAATATGCTGCTATCTGTAGAGAACTCTTTAGCAGTCAAAAGTAATGATAAAGAACAGGCATAAAAAGAGTATTTAGTTTACTTATTACATGGTCAGTATGAGTACCAGACTAGGTGCACTAAGAGAACAGAAGTCTAAGATTTGTCCCTATGCTCTCCTTTCTTAAAATCTTGCTTGGGAGGCTCATGTACATAGCGCAGTAATAGACACAACAATAATGTGAGTTAGTTTGTGAGCAATGTCCTGAGAAATTTGTTAATTATACCTTTTAAAAGTACCAGTTTGTGGGTGCTATTATTATAAAGCTGGACTTATTCGATGATACATTGACTCACTTGTATTCTGAATGCTTTCTTGAGTGGGAGGGTTGGGGACTTACAGCCAGCCTTGGTAATGACGCCTGAGTCAGGTAGAGGGTATCATGGGTGTGCATTTTGTTTGTCATCTATGTGGCAGTAGGTTAAAAAATAAATACAATAATTGCTCAGAAAGGGCACAAAAATACAAAGTTGAGATAACAATATGGTAATTCTAAGAAAACAAGGCATCTTTCAGATGAGCACTGGTCAGTTCTTTCTAGTGTGCTTCTGAAGTTTTCTGTCAATCATCTGTTTAATAAGTACGTGATATCTGATAGGGAGGAAAGAAGTATAATGCATTAAACCATGCCAAGAATATTTTTTTTTAAAGAAAGATTTTTGTTATAGGGTATGTGCACTCTCCAGAGAGACAGTGAGATAGAGAAACAGAGAATGAGAAATCACCCCCTAAGGAGATGGCTACTCCGCAATCCCTTCTCCTCCATTCTCCACTTGGGATCTCAGGCACTCACACACACACTCGCAGAGTAAGTTTGAAGCCACCAGGTCTGAAACTCATACCACAGTCAGCCATGTGGGAGTCCAGCCACATAACCATTAATGCCATATACTGGTCCCAAGAATGTTTTTAAAAATGTTTGAAATCCAATTTTTTTTATTGAGAATATAGACCTTTTAATAATTACTAATCACAATTTTTAAAATATAGTAGAAATAGCAAGCTTAACTGGAATACAGAAATGGTGTTGTGTTTTCACATAATTTAATATCACTAACCAGAGTACTGAATCAAGGCTCATGAATCAAGATCCTTTTCTTCAGTGTAAAACACAAGTTAGTAGAGACGCCCAATCATTTGTAGCACCTTTGACTTGGAAATTTAGAGAAAAGCCATTATGGATGTGTTTCTATGGTAACATTTTAACTAGAGGCAATCATAAATTCACATGTGTGAAAAGAAAAAAATAATAAGTGTAAAAAAACCTTTGGAAGAATATTTTTAATCCAGCTATAAATAAGAAATGATTCATCTATATGCTATGCAAATTTAAAGAGGGTAAATTTAGAATTTTTTTTCTCTTTTTCTGAAGTTTTATAATTTAGGGGGGAAATGTAGTTATATCTGAAAAGTTCAGATAATGTCTTTTTCAGAGCTGTGCACTGATGAAAATCATTGAACTTTCTGCAGTGATGGAAATGTTCTAACTCTGTACTACCCAGTACAGTAACTACCAGCCCCATGTAGCTATCAAGCATATGAAATGCGGCTAAAGCAGTTACGGAACTGAATTGTAAATTTTATTTCATTTTAATTAATTTAAATTTAAATACCCACCTGTGTCTGTAACCATATTGTTAAAGCAAAATGGCTTAAAATCAAGTTGTATAGGAGTAGGTATGTCTTGCCAGATAGTGAATTCATTAACTGAGAAGTACAGAACTATTGTTTTATGTCCAAGATTTTTTGGCTCTTAAGTTTTTCTACCTTATTCTATATAGGGCCATTATCACTTTTGACTTAGCTTTAAAACTATCTCTTTTACCTTAAAAAGTTCTTCTTTTTTTATTAAAGGAATTATTTTTTATTTAATTTTATTTATTCATTCATTTATTTTCATTTGACCAGAGACACAGAGAGAGAGAGAGGGAAAGTGAGAAAGCAAGCCACCAGGTTCGGGACTCAAACCGTGGTCAGCCATGTGGGAGTGTCCAGTGCCTTAGCCACCATGCCACCTGCTGGTCCCATTACTTAAAAAAGTTCTTCTAACTCGGGAACCAGCAGTTAGCATAATGGCTATGTCGCTGGACTCCCACATAGTCGACCACGGTTTGTGTCCCAGACCCGGTGGCTTAAAACTCACTCTGGGCACATGTGCATGTGTGCCCAAGATCCCGAGAGGAGAATGGAGGAGAAGGGATTGCGGCATGACCATCCCCCCTAGGGGGTGATTTCTTGCTTTCTGTCTCTCTCTGTCTGTCTGGCGAGCGCACATACCCTATAGCGAAAATCTCTCCAAAAAAAAAAAAAAGTTCTTCTAACTCAATAACTTTGAGCCCCAAAGTGCTAGTTTTAGGGCTATTCACTCTGAGGGTAAACCTATCATATATTTATTACTTTTTAAAATTAAATATAATGCTGAAATGTTTGCGATAAAATGTGCTGATATCTACAGCTTTTTTTTGGGGGGGGGAGGGTTTCATTATAGGGCGTGTGCGCTCACCAGACAGACAGAGACAGACAGAGAGAGACAGAAAGCAAGAAATCACCCCCTAGGGGGGATGGTCATGCCGCAATCCCTTCTCCTCCATTCTCCTCTCGGGATCTTGGGCACACACGCCCGGCGTGAGTTTAAGCCACCGGGTCTGGGACTCAAACCGCGGTCGACTACATGGGAGTCTAACGACATAGCCATTACGCTAACTGCTGGTCCCTCTACAGCTTATTTTGAAAAGCAAGAAAATATGAGTTGGGGCCCAGCAAGTGGCCTGGCAGTTACAGTGTTGGATACCACATGGCTGACTGCGCCACTCAAGTCCCGGACCAGTGACTTGTATGTATATGCCCAAAATCCCAAGGGGAGACTAGAGAAGATGGGATTGCAGCCTGGCCATTCCCGTCTCCCCAACCAGGAGATGATTTCTCACTTTCTTTTTCTCTGTCTCTTTCCAGCGAGTGCACCTGCCCTAAAGCAAACAAACAAATCAAATGGCTTGATGAATAGATAGATGGTAACCAAGTTAGTGAGGATGGATTTGACTTATATGTGCTGTAAGCAATCATTTAATGTACTGCAGTATTAAGTTAATAAATGTGATAGATAAAGCAAAATGCGAACAATCATTTTCACTGTGCAATTCTTTCAACTTTTCTAAAAGTTTCATAGTAAATGTTCAGGATAGTTGGATATGAGTATATTAAATACTTTAAAGTCTTTTGTTTCTTTTTTTTCCCCTTGGATCTACCACTTCTCTGTTAAATAGAGTCAAGGAGCAATAACTGAACGTTTAAGAAGTTTCAGTATGCATGATTTAACAGCTATCCAAGGTGATGAGCCTGTGGGACAAAGACCATATCAGCCTTTACCAGAAGCAAAAAAGAAGAGTAAACCAGCCCCCAGTGAATCAGCAGGTATGCTTGTTTGTTATAATATGTGGTCCTTTCATAACTGAACATGCGTGCCAAGATGGGTACTAAAATAATACATAGAACTATATAAATTTGGGTAGACACAATTTACTTTGAAGGGGCTAGGTTTTGGCCCACTGGTGACATAGCTGGACCATATGGGAAAGGTCCTGGGTTCCTGTTCCACGACAGTCCTGAGCACGCAGTGTATAAGTGTGTGTGCTGGTGCTCTAGGTCCACAGGAACTGGGTGTGGATCACAGTGTAGGGATCCCATTGTGAGTGCCTCTTCCTCTCTTGCTCTCTCTCCCTTACTCTCTCATAGAAAGATACAAATTAAAAAAAGAAAAATAGACCATTGAGGTCAGCAAATGGCATACTGGCTATATCACTGGATTCGCACATGGCCCACCACAGTTCAAGTCCCCAGCCTGGTGACTTGAAAATCACCTAGGGCACATGTGTATGTGTTCCTAAGATGCCATGAGGAGAATGGAGGAGAAGGGACTGTGGTGTGGCCATTGCCCCTCGGGGATGGTTTCTCACTTTCTTTCTCACTGTGTCTCTCTGCCACAATAACATGCGCCCTGCGGCAAAAACCTCTAAAAAAAAGAAAGAAAGAACATTTAAGCTTATAGTTGGAAGTTCTACATTTAACTATAGTTCATTTTCTCTAAATAAGGTTAATACATGCCTCTTGCTGACCCTGACGATCATCCCACTAAGAAAGTATTAAAAGTCTCTTGCGCTGCCATAGATTTTAGAAGCTATGGATGTTGGTTAGCATCGCCTTCTCACCACCGGCACTATTTCCAACTTGTGATTGTTGCTCTTCCTATTAACTATGTACTGACATCCAAGGAGTTTTACAGTGAACACTCTTTACTGTAAATGCCATGTCAAATAAGGATATTGACTCAGAAGATAAAAAGTGTTAAGCAGGTAACGAAAGATGACTCAATTTGAAAATAATCAAAAACGTGTTGAAATTACATTATTCTAGCTAAAGGGCTAATATGTAGGCACATTCTAAAATAAATTATAAGCATGTCATAATTGACACATTCTAAAACTTTAGTAAGTTATCACAATCTTAGAAATATATACACTGGGACTGGCAGGTGGCATAGTGGTCAAGGTGCTGGACTTTCACATGGCCAACCATGGTTCATGTCCCATATGCCAAGTGATTGGACTCAAACCATGGTCAGCCATGTGGAAGTCCAGCACTTGAACCACCACACCACCTGCTGGACCCATAGTTTTCTTTAGAGGAAGAACAAAAATCATCCTTTATAGTTAAAACCAATTTCAAAAATAAAATAACAGGCCCTCCTTAAAAAGGAGAAAATAATTCTCTCTCTGTCCCTTTCTGATCAAATTAAAATAAATAAATAATAAAGTAGATAATTGAAATTGATTTATTGATTTATTTACTTATTTATTTTAATTTGACCAGAGAGGGACAGAGTGAGATAGAGAAAGGGAAAAAGTGAGAAAGCAAGCCGCCAGGTCTGGGACTCAGACGGTCTGCAATGTGGGAGTCCAGCGTGCTTAACCACCATACCACTTGCTGGCCCCTGATAAAATAATTCTTTTAAAAAAAGGGAGGTGGTACCAGCAGTTGGCATAACAGCTATGTCACTACACTCCCATGTATTCGACAGCAGTTTGAATCCTGGACCCCAGTGGCTTGAACTCTTGCTGGGCATGTGTGCATGTGTGCCCAAGATCCCAAGAGGAGAATGGAGAAGGGATTGCGGCATGGCCACTGCCCCTAGGGAGGTGATTTCTTGCTTTCTGTCTTTCTGTCTTTATGAGGAGCACACACACCTTATAGCGAAAACCTCTCAAAGGGGGGTAGGGGCGGCAGATGGCATGGTGGTTAAGGACTCTAGACTCCCACATACTCCCACATGGCTGACCACGGTTCCAGTCCCAGACCTGGCAGCTTGCTTTTTCACTCTCTTTCTCTCTCTCTCAGTCTCTCTCACTCTGTCCCTCTCTGGTCAAAATAAAATAAAATAAATAAGAATAAAGTTAGATAAAATAATTCTTTAAAAATAATGCACTTTCTTCCAAGTTATCCTAAGAATAAATAACTTTACAGAGTTTGTTATCTAAGAGATATCTAACATTGGCCATTGATTAAAGCAGTAATGCCTCTAGTAAGGAGGAATCATTGAACTTTGAGCCATTGGTCTCATTAATACATTAATAATGTAAAATAAGTTTCTTTTTTAAAAAAATTATTTGCTTTCATTTATCAGTATTATTATTTTTTTAATTTGCTTCAGGTACTCACCAGAGACAGAGAGATCGCCGGGGGGGGGGGGGGGGGGGGGGGGGTAAGAAAGTAAGCTGTCGGGTCTGGGACTCAAACCATGGTCAGCCATGTGAAAGTCCAACATCTTAACCACCATACCACCTGTTGGCCCCTATAAAATTAGTTTCTAAGATAGGTGTTTCTTTTTAATTGCCAGGGGTGTATGTACTCACCAAAGAGAGAAAGCGTTTACACTACCCAGTGGGGCAAAGTCATACTGGAATCCTTTTTCCTCCATATCTCCATCCTGTCAGGATTCTGGGTGTACATGCACATGTGCCCAAGCCACCAAGGCCAAGATTTAAATTGGGGTCAGCCATGTGGGATCCAGCCTTCTATGTGTAGCACTTAACTACTGTACTACGAGGCTGGCCCAATATAGGCATCACTTAATACATATTTAAAATTAAGTATATTTAGTTTTGATATAATGTGGTCTGCTATATATATTGTATTTTGCTGATTTAGATTAGACATTGGATTCCTTTATCAGCAGTTCATTTATAAGTATACCTTAGACTTGGTTAAGGATTATATTCCAGGGGGCTGGCAGGTAGCATGGTGGTTAAGGTGCTAGACTCCCAGATGGCCAACTGTGGTTCAAGTCCTGGGACCTGATGACTTGCTTTCTGACTTTACCTTCCTCTCTCTCTCTGGTCAAATTAAAAATAATAATAACAACTAAAATAAATAATTTTTAAATTATACTCCAGTTATCTAAATTAAAACTAGTCTATAAATATGAAAATCTAAAACACTGTTTTTATGACATTCATCTATTAAATTTAAAATGGTGTGGCTGAAATTTTCTTTCTTTCTTTCTTTTTTTTTTTTTTAGGTCTTTGCCATAGAACACTCGCACTCACCAGAGAAAAACTGAGACAGAGAGGAAAAGTGAAAAATAGACCCCTAGGGGGATGGCCCTGCCACAATATCTTTTCCATTCTCCTCTCAGGATTTTGAGCATGTATGCACACATGCCTGGCGTGATTCTCAAGCCACCCTACTAGAGCCAGGCCCTGTGGGAATCCAGCACCTTAACTACCACATCACCATAACTAAAATATTTTAAGATGTTGTTGTGCTATATAGTTCTTTGGTTAAATTTCAGACTTTGAAATTAAAATAACTTCAGGGTTTAAAAATATGAAGTAGTCACAGTATAAGAAAGATACTTGTTCAGTTTTGAAATTAAATATTTAATATGTATGACTTTGCCCAAGTCCAAATTTTCTATAATACATATTCTGAGCTTTTAGAGAAACTAAAACTTTCTCTTGACATTTTTTTTTTTTTGAGAAGTTTTTGCTATAGGGCACATGCACTCACCAGAAAGACAGAGAGAGACAGAAAGCAAGAAATCTACTCCCAGGGGGATGCCACGCTGCAATACCTTCTCCTCCATTCTCCTCTCGGGATCTTGGGCAAGCACACACATGCGCCTGGCGTAAGTTTAAGCCACCGAGTCCGGGACTTGAACTGCAGTCGACTACATGGGAGTCCAGCAACATAGCTGTTATGCCAACTAGTGTTCCCTCTTGACAATATTTTTAACAAAGTAGTATGGTTCTAGTACTGGAAGAGGTGAAGAGAATATAATATTGGGTTGTTGCGAAAGTCATGACATATTTTTGCATATAAAACTTAAAAATTACATTGTGACTTTCCCAACAACCTAATAGATAGTCAAATCCAGGTATACCTGGACTTATGCCTATGTTGGTATAGAAAAATACAGTATATAAATATATTTGGTATAGAGTGGTATTTTACTGTTCAGACTGATACATGAGAAAGATGGCCTTTTGAATTGGTGGTAGAAGGCAGATTAATAAGTGGTGTTATGATAACTGCTAAACTTAGAAGGTGGGGTAGAGAATGAAGTTATACCTCTCCTCAAGCTTCTAATTAAAACAAATTCTTAAACTATCAAGATTTAAATGTTAGAAATGTAAGAAATTAAACCATATAGTAGGAAATTTATATTTTTATCTGTTAGGGTAGATTAAAGCTTCTTGGGCCAGTAGGTGGCATGGTGGTTAAGGGTGCTGTACTCCCACATGGCCGACCACGGTTTAAATCCCGGACCTAGCAGCTTGCTTTCTCACCTCCCACCCCTGTCCCTCTCAGGTCAAATTAAAATACATAAATAAAGTTAAATAAAATAATTTTTTAAAAGAATGGATAAAGCTGCTCTTTTTATTTTTTAAAAATTTTTAAAGAATTTTTTTTCTTTAATTTGATCATGCAGAGACAGACAGAACAAAAGGAAACTCGAGAAAGCAAACCAGGACTTGAACCATGGTTGGCCATGTGGTAATCCATTGCCTTTAACCACCACACCACCTGCCAGCCCCAAGGATAGATAAATCTTCTTAAGCATGATGTCTAAACCAGAAAACTCAACAGACTGTAAGCTTGAGAGATTGTTTTACATTAAAAAAGACATGCACACCATAAGTGGGGGAAGCAATTTTAAACATTTTAGGAACCCATGCAAACCAATTATTGTCAGTTTTGCCAAAGAATACAACTGACCAAAAATATATGAAAAAGATTTCCAGCATCATGTAGTCAAAGAAATAGTAAATTAAAACAGTAATAATACAGCCAGGCAGTGGCATGGTAGTTAAAGGGCTTGATCCCACATAGCCAACTGTGCAGTTCAGGTCCCAGAC